TTTAAAGAGCAAACTAGATACGTATATATTCATTTTGATTTATATCGAAAATGATAACAAACCAATCTAAACTATACCAAATTAATATGTCAGAATCGAGATTGATACGATATAAAATTTGATATTAAAATAAAATATTTGGAAAAATGTCATAACATACGAAATACTCCCTCCGTCCCAGAGTATTTGTCCACTTTCATTTTTACACATCATCCAATACACTTCTTTAATCCATTTTATATTGTAATTTGTATATTAACAAATTATAGAAATTATATATATATTAATAATCTATATGTTAAGACAAATCAAACATGACTATATTTGAAAGAATTTGATGAGTCAAAGTGCTTATATAAACAGTTCCAAAAGTCAAAAAGTGGACGGATATAGCGAAACGGAGGGATATCATACTCAGCCTAGTGGAAGGACTAAGGAGTAGTTTTTAGAGGTAAGCATTTCCCCCAAAAAAAGACATCTCCGCAAGTATAGGTAGGGGGAATCAGAATCTCAATCGGACGGAGGAAACGGCGCTTACGCGCCCGCCAGATCTAAACCAAAACAGAAATAGTTTGGCGTTGCGCGAGAAAGACGGCGTGAGACAAGCGTTACATGCTGCCACGTGGGAAACACGGCCAAATGAAGCACGTGTCGACTTCACCTACATGCACGTTCCACCGCAATTTGCGAGACCCATTTTCTTCGCCCGTACAACAATCTGATTTGCCGCTAATTATGCAATTGTTAGAATACAAATTCTATTATTAACTTAAATAAGTATTGTATTACTATTTAAATAAAAAAATTAATTAAAAATATTTAAAAATAACATTTTTTATGTGAGAAAATCAACAAAAGTAATATGCACCCAAAAAGGCTAAAATACATAATAAAAACACTCTATTTACAGATTATTATTCTAATAAAAATATTTAAAACATGACGCGTGTTTAAGAACTCATATTTTCAACTCCTTGGTACTCTGATCCGCATTACATCGTTGAAAAATGCTGCTCCATAGTCGGTAGAATAGAATACAAATAATTAGAACTATATATGGAGTGGAGGTTAATATACTTTTGTGGTCTTATACTCCGTGATTTTCTACTCAATCTAGCTAAAATATGTGACTCTAATTTATCTTCTTTCATTGATCGTTCGGTTGGGTATGAAAATCTTTGAAGATGGACTCATTCTTTTTTATAAAAGAGTTTATAATCGAGTAACAATGTTAATGTTAGGGAAATTGTAGATAACATAGATTAATTCGAGATTCGTGATAAAACTTTTAGCTTGATTATTTTCGATGTTCAATCCAAAAAAACAATTCGATAAAAATCAAATTATTAATCAAGAACAAGTATGAATTGTGATGACAGATGATCGAACTTCCGAACTCCCCTATTGCGACCAAGACTTTTGCCGGATTTTTATAGATGCGGACGGAAGGAAGAGATGCGATCACGTCTATTTTCTAAAACTCACATCTAGTCCCGCGAAATTTAGAAGATGCGTTTTTTCAGGAAAAAAATCTTTAACCCAAATTTCCAAAATTAAAAATTTAAGTGAATTTTAACACAACACTTTGATCCCAGTCAGGGGCTCCGCCCCCTTGGACCCTGCAGGAGTGGTTGCCCCTAGAACCTTGGTCAAAACCCCTGCAAAAGGGCACTGCCCTCTTAGGATTCATTAAAATAAGACTTTTATCATAATAAACACAAGGATGAATGCACTCTACATCACCAAATTTTTTAAATAATTATTATGCATGATATCATTAATCAAATAGTTATTGCAATTACACAATATATAACAATATACTCCCTCCGTCCCGTGAAACATGGGACATTTGCTTTTTAGGAGGGATTTAAGGGAGTGTATTTTGGTATTAAATTTCTAAAAATGTCCTTTGATGTGACGTGTAAAAGTATGATTTGATGGATAGATTATTAGTAAAAAAGTATGATGTGATAGTTAGGGTATGAAAAAGTAAGAGGTAAAGTGACTTTTTAATAGAAATGAGAAGTGTTTTGTGGGACGGATAAAAAAAGAAAGGGGAAAGGTTTCACGGGACGGAGGTAGTAGTTAATTGGAGTCTGTATACCGTTAAGTAAAATTGGTCTTGTAAAATTGAAATTTAACTTCATTTTAAAACAAAAGAAGGAAAATTAAAATAGGTTTTGTAAAATTGGTCTTGTAAAACAAAAAGAAGGAAAAGTAGAACATCAAACCTTTCTGTCAAATTACTCCTTTTGTCTCAAATTAAGTACTCCTTTTGACTCAAATTAAGTTATCTCTTTACTACTCCGTATTATAAACGTTAAACTTTTTGTATATTATTTTCCTATTTTTATGCTCATTTGATAAAATAATATACTTTTGCAACCTCTCATTTTATAGAGCTTTTGATGTAATTTTAATCACTCCCTCGATCTATTCCAAAATTAATTACACTCTTCACTATTTAAAAGACACAGAAATTTTTTATTTATTTGTCTGTTTTGATTAATTATTTGATAAAATAAAATATTTTTGTCTTATCTTATTTTGTAAAACTTTGACGTATTTTCTAAATATGTAAATTTCATTTTTAGTTTCATATATCAATCTTTAAATACAATAAATTACGGAGTATAAAAATTGAAATTTCACTTTGTTTTGCGTAAAGTGTGAATCGTTTTGGGACGCAAGAAGTATGTAAGTTTATTTTTTTAGTTCCGCGCGCTCAAGTTCTCAACAAATTATATTGAAAATAGCTTCACTCAAAAGTCGAAACTTTTGATTTAAATTGGGAAAAATAGAGTATTAATTAATTATCCACTAAACATCTACCAGTCATATCATTTTTTATAAAATACTCCGTACAAATTAATTTCTTGTCCGAGGACTCCGAACAATTATTTACAATAACGTGAGAGGTAATTGTTAAAATTCCGGCGGGCCGATAACAACGGATAGAGAGTGTCGGGTAAAATTAACCACTTGCATATTAAGTCGGGATCCACAATTCTAACCCAAAAGCTTAAGCTGATTGGTAGGGTTTCACCCTTCAATATATGCAAGTGATACTCATCTTTATTTTTCGATGTGGGAATTCCAACACTCCCCGCAAGTGGTAACTAGCCTGGCCTAGTTAGCACTTGGACAAACGGGTCTAGCATCTCAATCTCTTATAGCTAGCCCACACAATGGGCGGTGGCAACTCAATCTCTTTTTAGCCAACTCAGCCCAAACCACAGACGGGGTAGCTCTTTTTTTTTTGCTAAACCCACATCCAAACAACCAGGAACAATCAAACCCGGACCAGACCTGCTCCGATACCATGTTAAAATTCCGGCGGGCCGATAACAACGGATAGAGTGTCGGGTAAAATTAACCACTTGCATATAAAGTCGGGATCCACAATTCTAACCCAAAAGCTTAAGCTGATACGGTAGGGCTTCACCCTTCAATATATGCAAATGATACTCATCTTTATTTTTCGATGTGGAAACTCCAAGAGTAATGGAGCAACAAGTTGCATAGCAAGTAGCAACTAGCAACATCCTTTAATTTTGGATTGCAAAATCGATTCTAGTATTATCACTCAAACACATTTGAAACAAATGCAATTAATTGTTATATAGAGATATTTAGATGTACAAAAGTCCGTATCTAATTGTATCAATTTCATAAAATAAAGTATTAATTACATTTATGAGAAAAGTGCAGTTTACCCCCGAATTCTTTGAAAATTGCATGGTTTACTCCCGAACATTAAAAAGTGCACCAAATACCCCTGAATTTTTCAGAATTTGCACGGCTTACCCTTGAACAATAAAAAATGCATCAAATACCCCTAAACTCTTTGAAAATTATATTGTTTACTCCTGAACATTTAAATAAAGACGATAATTTTGGTAAAGTTACATTGGAAAATTCAAAAGGAACAGATGAATCATATTCGCAATTCTTGTGTATAAAAGAAACGCACTCCCTATCTAATAGTTTAGGACCAACGATGCAACGGTTTAATTTGTTCAAGAGTATTTGGTGCATTTTTTAGTGAACAGGGATAAATCGTGCAATTTTCGAAGAGTTCGAGGATAATCGATGCACTTTTTTAAGTTCAGGAGTAAAGCATGCAATTTCTAAAGAGTACGGGGGTAAACCATGTACTTTACTCTAATTAAATTTATGGTCAAGTTAGTTAAATTGATTTATGGTCAAAGTAAATGTTCATCGCCAAGAAACATACTTCCCGCCACTGGATTTGTTCAATACTATCTAAAGAATAACTTTTTTAGGTAGTACGTCAGGAAAAACATACTCCGTATATTTTAGCACTATTTAGTACTCGATACAAATTTCACTAAGTATCCTAAAATTGAGAAAACATTTTCTAACACACTAAAAATATGTTCTTTGGAGTTTGAAAAACAAATTGGTGTTGGGAAAAACTAGAAAGATGGAAATTACTGGAAAAAGTAGTAAGAATTGCAAAAATCCAAAAGAAACGGGAAGATATTAGAAAAATTGGACAAATTGGGAAAATAAAACAACTAGAAAAAATAGGAATAAAACTAAAAAAACCTTGAAAAAGCTAGAATGATTTTCAGAAATTTATTTAAGTGTGTTTTTCATATTTTTACCAATATAAATGCAAAGTTGTTATTATTATTATTTTCATGATCATCATCATTATTCATAGTTATGAATAACATAATAATAGTAATAGAATCCATAGAATAACACATTAATTTTAGAATTCTTGTTGGGGAGTAGAAAATAATTGAAGAAAATAGAAATAATTGGAAAACTAGAAGAACCTAGGAAAATTATAATAAAAAAATTAGAAGAAACAGAAAATTAAGAGTTTAGATTTTAAAGAAAATATGCTAATAAGATCAATACATATAATACTCCGTACTCCGTAAGTAATAAGCACATCATGAAAATTAGAAAATAACTTGGAAATTGTAATTGTAATATTAATAATAATCGTAATTAAATTAAAATGGTAATCAAGTCACAATAATGGCCCTGCTTACATCATGAATAAAGAGTCGAACGTTCTCAAAAATTTATTTTTTTAATAACAGAGGGGAAAAAATATCAATAATGAGAAGCATTACTTATTGCATGATGAGAAGCTTGAGAGTCAGCCGAAAGCACGATTTGCTTAGACGACGTCGTACCGGGGGGCCTCTTCCGCTTCTTCTCGTAACTGATTCCTCTGGATTTGGACTGGAAATCCCGAACGTCGCGGAGGAACAGCCTGACGGCGCGTGCGCCGAACGGGTTCGACTCCGGCTTCCCCCCGTGCTCTTCGTAGGCGGCGCGTAGCCTCCCGATCAGCGCGTCGAGGCTGCCCCAAGCTTGCCTTAGCGGGCAGGGGCAGGGGGCGGGCGGCTTGGGGATGCCGAAGAACGGGCAGTTCTGCGTGTGGACCTTCGTCTTCCCGAACTGGTCCAGGTACCGGAGGAATTCCAGCACGTGAGCGCCGCTGCAGAGCGGCAGCGACAGAGGCGGGCGGTGGTTTCGGAGGTACTGGCAGAAGGTGTTCCAGTCTCGCCGCTTCTGGTTCTCGTACCTGCTCAGAGGCTGCGCCGGCGGCGGCATCGGCTGCAGAGGAGCTGCTGGTTCCGGCGAGAGCATCGCCCTTGCGCTTCCGGCGGCGAACAGTAAATCGGCGGCGGGAACCATGTACCCGGCGGGATTTGGGGTTATAATCATCCCATGCGGCATTGTAATGAACTCCATTTCTTCGATCAATTCTTCTTTTGATCACAAACAAACAAGTAAAACTCTTCAACTTTAAATTGGATAATCACTTAATTTGAAGAACAGTTCAGAGAGCATATTATTATTAATATTATAACAGTAAATAAAGAAAAGGGAATGGTTAATTATGAAGAGATGTAGAGATTGTAATAAGATGGAGAGACATATATAGATATAGTTTAGTGGGAGGGGAACTGAGAGCCTTATATATACACACACACAGTATAAATGTGTGAGTGTAGTGTACAGTATAAACCTATGTACACAATACCCGGACAGAAAGTATAACTGCAATACCAGGGATTAAAATAGAGAAATTTATCTAAATAGGACCAAAACATAATGACTTTCCTAATATAGGATCATATGTTTTTATTTTCCAATGTAAGACCTTTGGTCATTATCAAATGGTCATTATTCAAGTAAATGTCCATCATTACTGGATATTATTCCTTCAACTAGATCATTATTAAGTCCTATTTAGTGAATAAAAAAGTTTAAGTCCTATATTAGAAAAGTCATTATGTTTTAGTCATATTTAGTGCAAATTTCACATTGAAATACTATAGGGAGTAGGGACATTGTAAAGCCAACATGGCTTTTTTTGAGTGATGACATCGGTGTTGGGAAATTTTCCTCCTACATGGAGGAAGTGTTCAATTTTAATTGAACAACACATTATATCTCTCTTTTGTATTTGAGCTTATTTTTGTGTGTAAAACTTTAGCCCAAATATTTTTTGGTGGCCCATATTGTGTGGCTATTAACTAAAAGAAAAAAAAGGAAGGGATAAGGCAGCATGTGGCAGGAGCTACGCAAGAGAAAAAAAGATGCAGTAGCTAACGCAGGAGAAGAGGAAGAAAAATCAGGTTTCCGCCACTGTGCAGCAGCCACTTTTCTCGTCCGGATCGAAGGCCAAACGAAGTCCGATCGTGCTCAAATTTTAGTATGTTGTTCCTCACATACTCCTCTTCATATCCAACGGTCAGATTCTCATTTTGATGCCCGGAAGGTTGTTTTCTGGCTGCGTTTTCAGACCTGCGTTTTTTGGGAGTTTTTACTCCATTTTATGGTGATTTGTTGATTGTTGTTGTTCCAAGGTTGCTCCTTGATGATTGTGTATGCCTCTAGTGTTTACTAGAGAGGAGAACTTGTTGTACCCACTTGATTCTTGGTGATTAGTGGAAGTTTGGGAGCTGTTGTTGAGCGGCCGTGGTTTTCTCCCCGATTTGGGGTTTCCACGTAAATCGTGTGTTATCTAATTTATTATCGCTGCCATTTATTTGTGTGTGTGCTGCTGATTTTTCAGAGTTCATTGTGCTTGTTATTCATCTCATTAATTTGGGGAAAAGATTTTATACGCTTCCGTTGTGTTTTGTTCCGTGCTTCCCCAACAAAGTGGTATCAGAGCTTGATTATTTTTTGGTTGGCTTCTTGTGTTGTTTATGATGGATGACAAAGTAATTGTTCAAGGAATGGTTAGTTTGGACTCTACGAATTATTCAATTTGGAAAATTCGTATTGAGGATTATTTATGCTCTAAAGATTTGCTTGACCCAATTTTGTATAAAGAACGTCCAACAGGTGTTGNGTGTTGCAACATGTTGCTAATGAAACTAATGCTTTTGAGATGTGGAAGAAACTTGAATCCATGTACGAGAGGAACAATGCTATGGGAAAAGCTTCTTTGATTAGGAAGCTTGTTAAATTGCAATACAAAGATGGTGATAGCATTGTGGTTCACATGAACGAGTTTCAAGGTGTGGTAAACCAACTAGCCGGAATGAAGATGAAATTGGAGGATGAACTTCAAGCTTTGTTGTTGCTTTCCTCATTGCCCGACAGTTGGGATACACTGGTGGTTTCACTTAGCAACTCTGCTCCGGAGGGCAAGATGACTATGGAGATGGTCAAGGCTAGTCTTTTGAATGAAGAGGCTAGGAGAAAAGAATCAGGTTACCCTAGCCAATCTGAAGCAAATGTGATTCCAGAATCCAGCAGGGGGAGAAGCAAGAGCAGAAATCCTCACCATAGAGACAAGTCCAGGGGGAGATCCGAATCCAGAAAGAGAGATTTCATTTGCCATTATTGTCAGAAGCCGGGTCACATTGAGAGATTCTGCAGAAAGAAGAAGAGAGATATGTTCAGGGAGAGAAAAGATAAAAATGAGAATTCCAAGCAGAAGCCAGAAGAGAAGAACACTACAGCCTTGGCATCTAGTGATGATGATTTGTTTGTTATCGGTGATCATGGACTATTAAATGTAGCCTGTGATGACTGCACTTGGGTGATTGATTCTGGTGCATCTTATCATATTACTTCACACAGGGAGTACTTCTCATCCTACACTAGTGGTGATTTTGGCCATGTGAGGATGGGAAATGATGGTTCGTCCAAGATCATCGGTATGGGTGATGTTTGCTTAGAGACTTCCACTGGTTGCAGGTTGGTGCTCAGGGATGTGAGGCACGTCCCAGACATCAGATTGAGTTTGATTTCAGCTGGTTTGCTTGATGATGAAGGTTATGCCAACAACTTTTGTGATGGAAGATGGAAACTCTCCAGGGGCAGCTTGATTATGGCTCGAGGTAAGAAGCAGAATTCACTTTATGTTATGCAGGCCAGAGTATGTAACGGAGATGCCAATGTAGCAGATGATGCCTCCGGTGATTTGTGGCATAAGAGGCTTGGCCACATGAGTCAAAAGGGCATGCATATCCTTTCGAGCAAAGATTATCTCCCCGACATTTCAGGTATGCCTTTAAACTTTTGTGTTGATTGTTTAGCTGGAAAACAACACAGAGTTGCATTTCATACTCGTCCCCCACATAGAAGAAAGAATGCTTTAGATCTTGTTCATACTGATGTTTGCTCTATGGATGCTAGATCACACCGTGGTGCACTATATTTTGTGACTTTTATTGATGATTTTTCTAGAAAAGTGTGGGCTTTTGTTTTGAAACATAAAGATCAGGTACTTGAAGCTTTTTAAGGAGTTTCATTCCAGAGTTGAAAGAGAAATTGGCCGAAAGCTCAAGTGTGTCAGATCAGACAATGGTGGCGAGTACAGGGGTCCATTTGAGAACTATTGCAAAAGTCAGGGCATCAAGCTTGAGAAGACAGTTCCAAAGACACCTCAGCTTAATGGAGTTGCAGAAAGAATGAACAGAACCATTGAGGAGAGAATCAGGTGTATGCTATCTCATGCTAAGCTGCCAAAGTCCTTTTGGGCAGAGGCAATGTTTACTGCAGTGTACTTGATTAACCTCTCCCCTTCAGTTCCTCTTGAAGGTGAAGTTCCTCAGAGAGTTTGGTCAGGGAAAGATGTCTCCTATAAGCATTTGAGAGTCTTTGGTTGCAGAGCATTTGTTCATATTCCCAGAGATGAGAGATCCAAGCTTGATAAGAAGACCAAAGAGTGCATATTTTTGGGGTATTCAGAGGATGAGTTTGGGTACAGACTATGGGATCCACGTGATAGGAAAGTGATCAGAAGCAGAGATGTGGTTTTCTTTGAAGATCAGACTATTGAAGATTGTGAGAAGAAGCAGGCAAATCCTTCTCCATGCATCACAATTGATCCAGTTCCATCTCTTCCTCCTGTTGTAGTCCCTCAAGATCATGGGGGAGATATGCATGATCATACAGATGAGTCCCCTGCAGATGACCATCATGATGATGATGGTGGTGATGGTGTTCCAGAGTCACAACCACACTCAGAGCCGCCTCCAGCACCTCAGTTGAGAAGATCCACCAGAGTCAGAAAACCTTCCACGAGACTTTCAGAGGATGATTTTGTGTTAGTCACCGATGGGGGAGAGCCAGAGACATATGATGAGGCTATGTCACACGTGCACCACGAGAAGTGGTACGATTCCATGCAAGATGAGATGACGTCCTTGCATGAGAACCACACATATGAGCTTGTAGAGTTGCCTAAAGGCCAGAGAGCACTCAAGAACAAGTGGGTATACAGACTGAAGTGTGATGAGAATAGCTCACAACCAAGGTACAAGGCAAGATTGGTTGTGAAGGGTTTCAGTCAGAAGAAGGGCATAGATTTTGATGAAATATTTTCTCCCGTTGTGAAGATGACCTCTATTCAAGTTATACTTGGCTTAGCTGCGAGCATGGATTTAGAGATTGAGCAACTTGATGTGAAGACAGCATTTCTTCATGGTGATCTTGATAAGGAAATCTACATGGAGCAACCTGAAGGCTTCCAGGTTAAGAGAAAGGAGAACTTAGTTTTCCGTTTGAAGAAAAGTTTGTATGGTTTGAAGCAAGCACCTCGGCAGTGGTATAAGAAGTTTGAGTCCTTTATGGTTGATCATGGCTTCCACAAAACACACGCTGATCATTGTGTCTTTGTAAAGAATTACTCCGAAGGTGACTTTCTTATTCTCCTTTTATATGTAGATGATATGTTGATTGTTGGACAGGACACCAAGAAGATTTCCAGCGTGAAGAAGTCATTGAGTAAGTCCTTTGCTATGAAGGACTTGGGCCCTGCTAAAGAGATTTTAGCCATGAGAATCACGCGGGATAGAAAGAACAAGAAACTTTGGCTATCCCAAGAGAGATACATTGAGAAGGTGCTTGGTAGATTCAACATGAGCAATGCTAAACCCGTGAGCTCTCCACTTGCAGGCCACATGAAGTTGAGTATGGACCATTGCCCTACAAGTGAGAAAGAAAAGCAAGAGATGAACAAGGTGCCTTATGCTTCAGCCGTGGGTAGTTTGATGTATGCCATGGTATGTACGAGGCCAGATATTGCACATTCAGTTGGGGTTGTTAGCCGCTACATGT